GCTTACCAGACCGTCTATAAATATTTCTGGTTGGGAGTTCATTGTGAATCTGGCTGTGATCGTCGTCCTGACTGCGACGTTAAATAATTCCTGAAGAGATGGGGGCGCTCTATAAATTCCTCCTGATCAGCCAGATCACATGGGCAGGAAGGCTCGTCGCCGTACGAGGGTAAATAAGAGTGGTTGGGCTGGCTTGCTCGGTGACAACTTGGGCACAGGGGTGGGCCGATTCACACACGAAGACACTGCTCGCTCAACGATGTTGTTCGGTATGTTGGATTGAGGGGAAGGGTAGGTTCCAATTGGTGCTCAACTGTTTACACAACCATACCCATCAATCATACATCTGCTACATTGTCTTTTGTTCCTTTGATTAGTTGGTTGACGGACTGCTAACCTCACAGACAGATTAGTGTAGGACTGTTGTCTGCTATCATAGCCAGTTCTAACTAATGCTGATGTAAGTGAACCAATCAGGGTGCATCTAGACTATGTAGACAATCTGTGTGAATGTTGTAGACATGCCACTTGATTCGGTATAGTAGGGAACTCGCCGGACACGACTATTTCTAGAAAATTACGTGCCGGACAGATACATGCTGCGGTAGGATTCCATTAGGGGATTCTAGTGTAGACACTATCTGCCTAACTAATGAGTGGGTCAGATCCTGTTGATGATAGAGCTGACAATAGGAGACTTACACGTTCGGAAGCACTAAGGGTTCCGCACGTGTTCAGGACCTTAGACGAGGGAGAAGAAAGACGGCTTCGTGCCAAACGTAGAGCCCGTGTTCTAGCAGCAGGACTACAGGAAGCAAACAGAGTAGCAAGAGAGCGGGCAACAGCAGCCAGAGCAGCTGCAATCGCTAACGGCGCAAGCTCTGCTGCGTCATCGTCTGCGTCCTCGTCAGGGAATAGTGGGACTCAGTTGGGAATGCCACTGAGTTCCACAAGTTCCTCGGGCACTTCCCGTTCAACAGGTTCTAGACAGTCTTATAGTCAAATGGCGGGCTCGCAGTTCAGCCCGTTGACCCCACGTGAGAGGGAGCTCAGGGAGATCCAACAGGTCGAGAGGCTCCGCCAGAAGTTAGAGGAGGACCTGAAAAAGGCAACCGATAGAGAAAGAGAGATAAAAAGTAGAGCGGCGAGACTTGATACGTTAGAGGCTGACAAGGCTGCGTTAGAGGGATTGGACGAAACGGGTTTGTCTGACCCCCTGAAAGTGTTGAAGAACAACATGTTGTCACTGCATGCGCACGTTGACAGTAGGATGGACTTCATGCAGAGCACTTTGGACCAGATCCTGGATGCATTGACAAAGCCAGGATTCCGGCCACCAGCACAATCGCCGTTGCCGTTAATGGCAATGTCAGGCCCCTTTCCAGTACAAGTTGGCACACAGCCAAGTGGTACGTCTGCAGCAGTCTCACAGACTGTTGCGTCCTCTTCTTCGGGTCCAGCGGTGATTGCTACATCACCGCAACAACCTGTTCCTTCACAGGGACAGCAGCAAGGTCAATGGTATCCTAAGACCCCGATGAAACCGCCTCTTGCCTTCTCAGGTGAGAGAAAGGATGAGGAACTCAACACATGGTTGAGAACGATCCCGGTTTGGGTGAAGGYAAAGAGGACCTTGCMTGAGGACGAAGTGGTAACTGCTGCATCCTACCTAGAGGGTAAGGCAGCCAAGTGGCTAGATGGAGTAGTTGTAAAGGCCGGGTACGGGAGACGCATGRCAGACTGGGCTAAGTCATTGACGTTAGACCAGTTCATGGAGATGGTAGAAGCTCGATGGCATAACCCACAGGAGGCTCAAAGGGCCACTGATGCCATTAACAAGCTGGACCAACGAAAGTTCAAGTCGGTCAGAGAGCTTACGACTACCGTTGAAAGCCTGATCCTCGTCCCAGGCATCGACTACAGTAACCAGTTCCTGCTAACTACGTTTGTTAGATGTTTACCAGAGAACATCAAGAACTTACTAGCCAACGAGGCACGCACTGTCTACCATTCGTTTGAGACACTGTCTAGGAAGGCCTTAGATTTAGAGGCCACTCTAGGCAATGCTCAACCCACCTCACAGAGTGACTCAAAGAAGAAGAAGAGTCCTCAGGAATGGAAGAAGAAGGGAGAAAAGTTTATGATGGTTGAGTCTGATGGGACTCAAACTGAGATTGACGAACTCTCTGACCTGATGGACTATGCAGAGCACGACGGCGAGGAGGTAGCTGAGGGTAGCACCCCTCGCGGCGGTAGTAAAGACTAAGGCAGGTGGCCGAGGGAAGGGCCAACCTAGGGGTCAAGGGAAGGCCGCCTCCAATCAGACCAAACAGGCTGAGTGGGTAAAGGCAGGTCTTGATCAAGACGTGTGGCGTGACCGCCGAATGCGTGGCGCTTGTATCAACTGCGGAGAATACGGACACACGCAGTGGAAGTGTCAGAACGCTAAGGTTACACAAAAAGTTGCTCCAAAGATAGGGGCTTCTTATTCCCAGGGTTCCATCTCAGGAAACGCGTGAGGCCAGTGGAAGTATTAGCCGCTTCAACTCAAGATGAAGTGGGAATGATACCCTCCCCACTTCATGAAAAGGCCAAGGCTAATGACCCCTTATTCACCCCGCAGACACGACTAGACCAAACTATGCTCTGTACGTTAGATGTGTCTGAAGCCTTAGAGGACTTAGAGAGTGAGTGGTCAAACAAGGACCCTCACGAGTCTTGGGTGGCGCTGAGGAAAGGTCCTAGAGGGGAACATTTCGTGGTGGAAGTCGATGTAGGAGGCCGCAAAAGTGGTGCCTTCATAAACATTGGCTCCACGCGGAATTACATAAGTCGCGACTGTTTGGAGAGGCTGCACCTACAAGACCGGGTACGACACCTTAGTAGACCTGTAGCATCTACTTTGGCCAACAAGGAGCGCATGATTGTAACAGACTACATCAAGGACGTAGTCTGTACCTTCTCCTATGGAGGAGGTGAGCTTAACTATAAGATCTCGTTCTTGGTTAGCGACGACTTGCCATTCGATATGTTGTTAGGCATGTACTACCTCGAAGTTGCTAAGCCCCAGTTCGACTAGGATAAGAAGGTGCTCAAACACAAGTTGCCCGACGACCGAACTGTCAGATTGACCAAGTTCAAGGCCAGTAGTATTAAAGATACCTATGGCTGCTTGTGCGCATGCACGTTCTACAACTATTACAAGCAAAACGAAGAGGAGGGTATGTACCTTGTTTATGTCTCTGAGAAGGGGGAGGCCGTTAAAACACCCCCAAAGATAGAACGCGTTGTTGCTAAGTTCCCTGATCTGTTCGAGGAGCCCACAGGAGTTGTTGAAAGGGAAGTCGTCCACACTATAGAAATCATTCCAGGAAGTAAGACCCCAAAGGGAAGGATCTATAGGATGGCCCCCGCCGAGTTAGATGAACTTCGGCGACAGCTTAAGGAGCTGACAGAAAAGGGTTCGATTCGGCCTAGTTCTTCCCCTTACGGATCACCCGTTCTATTCCTACCGAAGAAGGGGGGTACTTTGAGGATGTGCATTGACTATAGAGGCCTCAATGCCATCACTGTGAAAAACGCAGAGCCTCTACCTCGCATAGACGACCTATTGGATAGGGTGCAGGGATGCAAGTGTACTATACAGAGATAGACTTGAAATCCGGATACCATCAGATCGCAATAAGATCTGAGGACCAACACAGGACAACTTTTCAGACTCGTTATGGTCTGTATGAGTTTGTAGTGATGCCTTTTCGTCTTTGTAATGTGCCGGGTACATTCCAACACGCTATGAATCGGATCTTCCATGACCATTTAGATAAGTTTGTCGTAGTCTATAGACGGCATTCCGATCTTTAGTAAGTCTGCCGAGGAGCACGCACAACATGTTGAGATAGTACTCTCACTCCTACGACAACACAAGTATAAGGTCAACTTAGAGAAGTGCGAGTTTGGCCGCACTAAGATACTATACTTGGGTCATGAAGTATCCGCGGAGGGGATTAGGCCGGAAGATGCGAAGATGGCTAGTATTCGAAACTGGCCACGACCTCAGATAGTCACTGAGGTCAGATCATTCCTAGGAATGTGCGGCTACTATAGAAACTTCGTTAAGAACTATTCTACAGTCGCCTCTCCTTTGACTGATCTAACTCGACTTGACACACCGTGGGACTGGAGTGATGAGTGCGAGGGTGCTTTCAAGAGATTGAAGCATGCACTCATGAATCATGAAGTTCTCATGGTTCCCGATCCGCAAAAGCCATTTATAGTGACCAATGACGCAAGCCAATAAGGCATTGGCGCAGTGCTGGCTCACCAGGATGGGAAAAAGTTGAGACCGATTGAGTACATGAGTAAGAAGATGCCATCGAAGCAGTTGGCTAAGTCCACCTACGAAAGGGAACTCTATGCTCTCTACAAGGCACTTGTCCATTGGAGACACTTCCTTTTGGGAAGGTTCTTCTATCTGAGGACTGATCATCAGACCCTCAAATGGATCAAGACTCAACCGGCTCTTTCTGATGCACTCAAGCGATGGATTGAGGTCATAGACCAATATGACTTCAAGCTTGAGTACCTGAAGGGAGAGTACAACAAGGTTGCAGACGGGCTATCCCGAAGAGCAGACTACCTAGGTGCGCTAGTTTCTGAATTTGGCGTATCTAACGAAATAACTCAATCATTGGTGGGAGCCTATCAGGAAGACCCTGTCACGATGGACATCATCCGCAAACTTCAGGCAAAAGACAAGGCCACAGAAAGTGAGTTTGTGATGGTGGATGGGCTGATCTATCTTGATAAGGCYGGAGTAAAGAGATTGGTAGTTCCATCTAATTAACAGTTGCGTAGTTTATTTTTAGGYGAATGTCATGACGMAACTGGGCACTTTGGCTACAAGAAGACGAGTGCTAACTTAGTACAGCGATTTTGGTGGCCCAGAATGTTAGATGACGCAAAGAAGTATGTTGAGACCTGTCAGGTCTGCCAGTGGGATAAGCCGTGAACTCAAACACCGCTTGGGTTATTGAAGCCTTTACCTATTCCTGATGGTCCAGGATTGAGTGTTTCCATGGATTTCATGGACACTCTTGTGACCAGCAAGAGTGGTAAGAGGCACATTTTCGTCATCATTGACCGATTCACCAAATACGCTAGACTAATACCAATGCCAGAGACAGCCAGGACAGAATACGTCATCAAGTTGTTCAAGGACAACTGGGTAAGGGACTTTGGTTTACCAAAGACCATCATTAGTGACCAAGACGTCCGATTCACAAGTGAGCTGTGGAAGAAGACTGCGGAACAGATGGGCAATCAACTTCAGATGACTTCAGGGAATCATCCCGAAGCCAACGAACAGGCCGAACAAATGAATAGAGTGGTACAACACTTGCTGAGGCATTACATCAAGCCCAGCCAGGATGACTGGGATGAGCAGTTACCTCTCATCGCCAGCTTGTACAACAATGCTATACATAGCAGTACCGGCGTTAGTCCTAACCAGCTGCACTTAGGATGGAAGCCTAGATCAGCATTAGACTTCCTCCTACCTGAAAACTGACCCACTGCAACTCCAGGCACACTTGAATACGGTGTGCAATATAAGAAGTTGCTGCAAGATGCTGTTGAACATATGAAGAAAGCTCAACAAGCCATGATTGCGTATGAGAATCAACATCGCAGACAGTCCACATTTCAGGTAGGGGAACGTGTCTGGGTCAAGGCTAGTGAGTTAGGACAGGAGTTCGGAATATCTCGCAAACTAATGCCTCAGTACTTTGGTCCCTGGGAAGTCTTGGATGTAGTGGGAGATGAGTTGGATGGTCCCACATATGTCATTCGTGTCCCTGGACACCTACGCACTCACCCAGTCTTTCATGCCTCAAAGCTTGCACCTTTTGCTTAGACTGATCAATTCCCTTCCAGGAGATCGATGCTGCCCCTAACCATGGATGGACAAGTCAACATCGACGACATTGTGGATCACAGGGATATGCCTGTTCCGAAGCCGCTGGGTCGAGGAAGACCTCCTAAACCCAAGAGGGAGTACCGGATCAGATTCAGGCATCATACGGATCCTAAAGAAGATCGGTGGTTTACCCGGGAGGAACTGATGGAAACAGCTCCTCAGGTGGTGGCAGATTATGAACGCAAGCTAAAAGGGAAGGCACCTGCGAAGTAAGCATCTCAGCGGACTTTCGAAGCTAAGGGGGATGGAATGTGAGGATTGAGCCCTCAAGTAGGGGCCTTGCCATGATGTACATGTTCTGGGCTAAGGCCCCAGCAAGCCTAGTGTCCGCCCTAAGTTAAGGCGGGCCAGCAAATCAACAAGAGCCCTCTATGCCAACATTTCACGAAGTGGGGTCTATACAGTTGCAGCACGCCAGTTGGTTGGAGTGCACCGAGTCTCGGATTTCAGCAAATGCTGAAATGCCCAGGGCCTCTGAGTTAGTTAGGCCCTGGGCACTCGAACGTGAGGCCGACAATGCATGCTGGGTAGAGAGGCYGAAAATGCCAAARGGAAATCGGCCCACTATCTGAATCTGGCCGCAGGCCTTGATGAGARAGGCGCAAMTGCATTGCTCCGGGGCCCAACTGTATCGGGTAGGCTTCAGCCTCTGGGCCCCGGTCACAGGCTGAAGGAAGGCCGCCCACACGCTGCACTGGCATA